TATCAAGAATCCCAAACAGAAAAACAGACAATGGTGAACGAATGCTATATTCAGTAACAGCATTTAGCTTTTTCTTTCCTTTTCCTTCAGTTTTTCTCAATGTGAATGGAAACAGAATGTGCTCGTATATATTCACAAAAGTGAGAAATAGTAAACAGGCAAACAGGAATATAGAAAAGGAGTAAGGTAGCAAATAAAAGAAGACTGACAGCTGAAAGGCTTTCTTACCGAAACGTTCTCCCAGTACGTCAGTTTCGTCGAATGAACGTCCAAATGATCGTACATCATTTGGGTTTGTTGCACTGTTTTGTGGTGCAGCCACTGGGTTGGTATGTTTTAGACCGGATGCCTGGACTTCTGTGACAAAATAAGGTTTTTCATCCAACATCGAACGGCGCAATGGTGAATCTGTATGATTATTATGAAAAATATTCGTATTCATCCGATGATGATGGTCTAAATAAACATGAACAAGTTATGCCTATACTTTTCACATTAGTCGTTAACAATTCATGGTGGCTACCTTGATCATTCGGTGTTGATTGTGAAGCATTCGACGTTCGATCAGTATTTAAGAATTTATTCAATAAATTTTCACTATCAGTTAAAGCTGATTCAGTAGAATCTGGAAAAAAGTTCAAAAGTATACATATAAATGAACACTTAAATATAGGTTTGTGGAACAAACATACCCCGATCATGTACATTTAAATCTGAAAATAGTGGTCGATGAACATGCTGATTGTGTTTCGATAGAACTTTAACATGTGGAATCGGTGACACTACAACGGAGGACACTGAGCTTCTTCGTGGAGTTGACGATGAATTCGGCGGTAAAAACGCTGATAGTCGAGCATGTGTCGATTGTAATTGACGCGTAATTGTTATTGACGACATTGTGGATTGTTCTACTAAAAGAAATGTACGCTGTGTGTTTGTTTTATTAACAGAACATAAACAGTAGATTTAGAAATAATCCAAATGTGAACTAACCAGTTCGTTGTTGAGGAACTCTGTCATTTACATGTTCTATATAAGCTAGTTCACTATATTGATTGTTGCTTTGAATATATATTATGCCTTCATCAGTATGAAATGTATCCGGTGGGAGCTTTTGTGATGTTAATACATGAGCACGATATTGCATAAATGTCTAATTATAGTTATGTAATATTAAACGCTCGAATACTTCTGTTTCATCCTCACGTAGTAGAACTTTGACATATGATTCATATGTCCGTTTTTGATTGTTTGTTTTTATAAATTTACCTGATAGTAGCAATCCCTTTTTTATTAAAGAACTTAAAAGGGATTTCGTGTGAACTTCCCCTGCTGTAATGATTGGTGACGGACCACGGTTGACTGTTGATCGATAGAACATTAAAAACGGAGATAATAATATTTTTAGTTGATCGGCCAATTCGATTGGTGTATTATGCGAAACATTGTTATAATCGAATAAGAAGAACTGCTGTGGCATTAGTACGTTTGCATAAATCGACACAGCAATTTCTACAACCTGTAATTCTATAGGTAACGGTGATGTTGGCACCGCACGTTTTTCATTTGCTGTTAATGATTTTCGTGATGATCCTGGAAAACAATAGGTGTTTAGTTACATTGACCTAAGTATTTTAGTAAAGCGACGTATGCGCTCCATAAGAAAAAAAACAGATAAACGGAAACACAATAAACGTATATATAAC